AGAAGGCTGCAGACCCCAAATGAATGAAGCTTTGATGCATCCCAGACCTACAGCATTAGAGCAGGAAAAAAAAAAAGGAAAAAAAAAGGAGTTGGAAACCTTCCTGAAATGGGGAGAGATGTGGGAGTAGCCTGGATCTAAGGGAAGAAGGGGACAGGACACAGGTCATCTCCCCAGGACAGAATTTAACGCTAGGTTCATCTTTCTATTAAAAACTCATTACCTCAGTGTTTCAGGGAAAATGTTTACTGTAATATGGGCTGTCAGGAAGAAATAACAGAGACAGACATTCCCACATCAACCCTGGGACATAAATCGTTATTCCATTAGCCTTTACTGTGAGGTGCTGGATTAATGGCCTGACTGCTGTGCCTGCAGAGCAAGGCTCACCCTGCAAAGGCACAGGGAGGGAGCCCTGACAGGGAATGCCCTGTACCACTGAGCTCGAGGGGCCCTCCTGATTGCACACAGCAGTTTCTGTCACTGCATTCCTCTGCCCTAGACCCTGAGGACAAAACCCACCACAAAAGCAGACCCTGATCCTGTCCTCACACCTTTCTGCTCTGGTGAGCACGCACACAGCACACACAGGCAGAGGAGCAGTGACTTTCCTCCTTACCTCACCTGTCACAAATCAATCCCAGCTCCACCTGAACTGTTCCTAATAATGAGCTGCTGACTTTCCCACTGGAAGCTGGAAGATCTCACCCCGCATGCACATCACCCCTCCTCTGTCAGACCCTGCAGGCAACACAATTCAGCCACCACAGAGAGGGTGCAACACGGCCCCCCAACACCCCAAAATTCCTGCCAAATGCTCCCAACCACATGGCAAACACCCAGGAAGCCTGCAGAGGATGGGAATGTATTTGGAAAGGCAGCTCTTCCCAGCATTCAGCTCTCTCTGCAGCACTCTCTGCCCTAGTTTTAATCCATCCCTCTTCAAAACAGGCCGGGGTGGGACGGTACTGAAACACTTGGGAGAGAAACGCACACATCAAAGGCCCTCAATGTCACTGGTGATGTAAAGGAAGGAGGAGGGCAGGGCCCAGCTGTGCTTCACTTCACCTGCAGCACTGAGGAGGTGGAAACAGAGCTATGAATTGGAAAACACAGGTAATGATATGGGGCACTGGTATCTCCCCATTAAGGGACACCCTGCTTTGCTGGTACCAGCAGAAGATGGAAGCTTTGGGAGAGTTTAGCTCCCAGATCAGAGAGAGAAGCGCTGCGCAGGAGGGTGGGCAGCTGCTCCTTCCCTTCCTTCCCATTTGTGGGGAAACACTGCTCTCTGCTGCCAGCTCCGAACACGGCAGGTGGCACTCGGTGGCACTCACTGCTCCCACGGTGGCACTACCCTCAGAGGAAACGCAGCACTGCAGTTTCTCAATAAACCACACATAAAGCTTAATAAATGGATGGTGTCTGGGCAAAAGGGATGGAAAAGGGTTTGCTTCTGTGTTTTTCCCACCTCGTTGAAGGTGGCCCTGGCTGAGCGTGGCGGGGCAGGGCTGGCAGCTCTCCAGCTGCTCCTCCACGTCCTCCCAAAGAAGTGGTGGTAGGTGGCATCGAAAAGGGAGAGGCGCAGCTGGTACTCGGTTCCCTGTAAGGCACAAAGCACCAGCTTTGGGGACAGGCCAGCTCTGTGTCCCCAAAGCTCAGAACACACTTTGGTAAGATATATAATTCCCATTTTCTATAATTCCCGTTTCCTAAGGGATGCCCAAATCAGGCACACGGCCACAGACAGCTTCATGCATTGCTGCAGTAGCTGCCTCCAAGCCAGAGGTGGACAGAGCAAAGGAAAAGTGGGGAAATTGAGCATTAAGCATAGAATAAAGAGGCAATTGATGTTAAAGTGCTATCCAGAAAATTTAATTTAAACATACCTACCTAAGATAACAAAAAACTAAATGAAAGTTAATTAAATGCTAACTTAGATTTACAGGTATTGAAACAACTTAGTGCTTCCAGGAGATCTCCAATTAGTTCCCCCCAAAACCATCTTGCTTTAAAAGCCATCATGGGGAGTTCAGGCCCACACACATGGACAGGAATGCCGAAAGGGGCTTAGAAAAAAGATGGAGAGTGACTTTGTACATACACAGAAAGTGACAGAATGGAGGGAGGGGGGACTAAACTAAAAGAGAGGAATTTAGGTTTGATCTTAGGGAGAAATTTTTCCTTGTTAGGGTGGTGAGGCACTGGCACAGATCATCTAGGGAAGCTGCAGCTGCTCCATCCCTGGAAGTGTTCAAAGCCAGTAGGTTGGAAAGGGCAAGCTGGTTTAGTGGAAGGCAGGAGGGTGGAAGGAGATGATCTGTAAGATTCTTT